TTTTTTTTAAAGTCAGTGGAATAAATGCTGCTAAATAGTTATCCATTTCTAATAGTTACAGAAAATGAAAAACGTGCATGATGAGGGAGTATTGGTCTATATTCACTGTGTAACTGAAACTCCTAAACATCCACTATCAGCCAATGTAAAGAGAGAGAAAAAAAACCCTGTGAACTCTTTGTCTTGTCTAGTACAGTCATTCTCTACTACATTTCTGTTGATATACGTGCTAGAATCAATCTGGTTTATACTCTGGAAACTATTGGAATGTTACTGTACTCAAAAAACGGAAAAAAGTAGAAACTACCAATGTTTAAAAAACCCTAAAGAGATAGAATAAAAAACTTTTAATGAGTCATTTTTCTTGGATAAAAAAATCACACCTAAAAATCAGCACTAAGAAATTTTTTTTATTTTTAATAATCAAATGGCACGATACTGGGGTTGTTTATCCTTTCTACAGAAGTTGTATCATTCTTGTTGTCTTTGAAGGTCTGGACCTTAGAATTGTACATTAGGTCACACAGTAAGGTTCTGACAGAATAGAGAGCTGAACATGATCATCTGTTTCCAATTATCACTGAATGCTCTGAACTTTTTTGCAATAAGTAGTTTCATTAGATGCAAATAACTTTTTGGCAATAAGTAGTTTCATTAGATCAGGGACACTTGGTTCATAACTGAACCTGTCATTAAGCTATTTTTTTGTAACAACAGAATATTGTGGGGGAGAAAATATGACAAGAGAGCAAGACCAATCTACCTGCATAGGACTTTTATTGCATAATTATCTTGTCCATTATTTTAAAATCAGGAAAACAGGAAACTATAATTTGTTCCAGAGCTGCAAAATGCAGTTTTTACAGAGGATGGCAGCACTGTAGTAGCTATTGGATAGGGAAGAGAAAGCAGAACTGAGTCCATTTTGAAAAATCTTTGTCTTTCTAAGTTTTATTCATGTTGGATCCCAGTGTTGTTTCAGTATTATTTCAGTGGAGTTATTTGTAAAGCTTTAGAGAACAATATTCAGAAAGAATGGGTTGCTTTGATAAAACTATTTGGGAAATGAATGCATTAAACTGAAAAGAATAGGATATATAAACCATTTCTAATCCCTCCTCTACACAGTAAGTGCTGCAGATCTTGGAAGCTGTCAAATTTGTACTGGCCTTGTTCAGAGATACAATAGGATTCAAGCCTAGTAAAATCAATGAAAATATTTCATTTGTCCTTTAGTCAAATTCTAAAAGAACAGTGGAAGACAACATTGCGTTTCTTCCATAGTTCCATCTATACAATGTGAGGTAAAGTAAGGTCTCACATCAGTACCCTGATATGCCATGAAAGAGATAATGGAAAGTTAGTGGTCTAATTTGTGGTTTGGGGAGGACTTTCTTACATTTATTTGCCGTATATAATACATATACTTACATATCCCTGTGAACTGTTATAACTTAAGGACTTACAAATACTTTTGTTTTTAATTGACTGAAAGATCTATTTTTCTTTTAACAGAAGACCAACATCTTGGCTTGAATTTAAGGGTAAGGCTTATATGAAGGTTGATTTGTGATGCATTTTGGAAAAAAAGGGCGTTAAAAAGAGCTGGTAGATTACAGTCACTTAAAACTAATTTATTGCCACTAGGGCATCTTTTACTTTTGGAGTACAAGAATGGCCAAGAATTTCTTTTCAGAAATACCACTATATAGGTAAATAGGCCATACAGAAGTGTTTGGGTTTTGTTTTTTTTAAAATAGATCTTCTGTTGTTACTCATGTGCAAGAAAGAGACTGAGAGTGGTAGACATCATATTATAGCAAGAGATAGCTCTTAGTGATAATTTTTAAATTCTGAGCCTGGCTTTGCTAGATTTTTATCTAGTTTTCCAGCTGGGCCCATCTGACTGCTTTCATAAGCTTGAAAAAGAATACCCAAAAGTTTAGTTTCTCAGATCAACTTGCTGGCATATTATTTACAAAAATGGTCAGTTCTTCCATTGTTAACATCACTTTTTTTTTTTTTCTTCAAGTTCTTGACCACATATATTTTGTTTTGAAATTGTTCTTGAGTTTTGACTCATTTAGTCATCAGTGTCTTGGTATGTTAAATTACCTGGCATCATATCCTTACAGAACTTCACGGCTGTTTCGTAAAAACATGGAGAAAGTTTGTATATTGATCATGTTCATTTCAAGTAAATATATTAGTATAAATTCAGCCCGTAGATCTTTCCTGGTGAAAGAACCTTCTGAAAATGTAAAAACTTTGTTGAAGAACATTTTACATTTTAATTTATTTGCCGATTCCCACTTAGGGACTGAAAGTTCATAGCATAATTGACTGTCATATTTTATACAAACTAACAAGTGGGAGCAAGATTCATCCTATTTGGTCAAGATGCTTTATGTTTTTGTAACTCTTATGTCAGCCATAAAATGGTTTTCAGAACTATACATCTCTGACAACTAAAGAAAGTATTAACAGTTTCAAGCGTCCACAAATGACTGATGGCAGTGATAAGTGACAAAACAATGTCAAGATTAGTAAACGACAAGTCATATATTGTCAGTAGTAAATCCAACCTTAAATTTTGTTGATATAAAACAAACTGCTTCAAAAGTTCTGTTTCTTAAGTTCTCCAACAGTGATTCTGTTCAGAGTACTTCAGGAAGGATAACTGTTAAAGCAAATTGTTTAATTTTTTATTCCTCTGCTAGGAAGAAAAGTCATTAATTGAAAATCTGATACGTGAAAAGCCTCCGCCATCCCCAGGTACTTCGGTTTTTTCTATGATTTTACTACAAATCTTCACTTTAATAATATGCATATGTATATAAAAAATACATTTTCCTGCTTGTATTCTCAAAGCCTAATTCAGAGAGGGGGCAAGAGGACTAACTAGTTCATGCGGAGCACATACACTTTGCTTTCTGCAGTGGATATTTCTCTCACCTCTCTAGTCACTTATGCTAGGGAGAGGGAGATCTGCTGACACTTTCTTTGCCCTTTAAGGAAGGAATGTTTTCAGTGTCTGAGAGAAAAGATGGGAACTTGCAGCCACTCCACTATATAGCTGTCTTTCCAAATCCATTCTCTTATGAAGTATCATTCATATATAATGCTAATATTGGAAAAAATGGATTACAATTTGCTGAAACTCACATTCAAGTCTGAATACCATTTAAATACATTGTACTGTGGCATTACAGATATGTCTATTCGGGCAAGGCAAGCACAGGAAAATATGACTAAAGAAAAGTTCAGAGAACTAAAACAAGAAAACTGGTCTCTGAGCAAGGCGTACCAGGCTGTGGTTCAACAATTTGAGGGAACAAAACAGCAAATGGAAGAACAGCTATTAAAGCTGAAGAGACTAGAGCAAGAAAACAGAAGACTTAAAGAAGCTGCTGAGAAGTCACATAGAGAAGGTACGAGAAGCGTATAAGCTATTCTGTAGTTATCTTGTTTGGTTTTTCTAAATTCTTACAACCTGTTCCAGCAGTAGTAGGTTTCCACTCATTGATTTGAGCAAGTATCTATGCAGAAGTAGTTTCTGAACAGTATTTTCTATATTTGTAGAAATTTCATCAAGGAATACTTACATGAAAAAAAATTACTTGGTTGTTTAATTTTTTATTTTTATTAATTTTTCATTACAGTATTTTGAGATAAGTTCTCTTATGATTCTAGCTCATTGAGATTTTTTTTCCTTACAATTAACAAATTATTGCTAACATTTCTCAAATTTTGATTGAACTTTCTTGTTGGGTATTTGTTTTAATAGAGGAGGCTACAGAATTACTTTGTCTCAGACGACAAGCACAAGAACTGGTAGATGAAAATGATGCTTTGAAAATGACCGTCCATCGTTTAAATGTAGAATTAAGTCGCTATCAAACTAAATTCAGGCCATTGTCTCAGGAAGAGGTGAGAATCTTGGTTATAAAGGCAGTTTGGTCTGATGTCCCATTGTCCTTTCATTCATCTTTGAGATTTTTAAGACTATTTTCTCCAAATTTGCCACAAAGTCTACAAGTGGCATAAGCTTTTTCTGGAATTGTATGTACTCATTTATCGTTAAGTCTAACTTTAAGAAGTTAGATGTTCTCCTGTGTTAGTAAGATACTGAATTTCCGGTTTTGTTGACTTTGAGTGTGTGTTACATAGGCAACACGTGTAATTAGAAACATAAACTTGTTTGGGGTAATAGTTGTGACTGCAGTGGATGGTGGTTGGTGCTTCTAAAAGCAGGAAATAATTTCAATATCTTTTTAAAAATCTGTTTTAGCATCTAAAACTGAAAAGTTTACCCATGAAAGGACCACCACCACCATGGCTGGTAAGCAAAAAAATATTTTCACTTATCCGAGTATAGTAGAATTTCTTTATTGGAACCAAAATATTCAGGATATTATTTTGTTACTTTACTGAACTATCACATACTAGTAGAATATTATAAACATTTGTGTTGTTGCATAAAAAGACATAGGGCAGAACTTTGCAACGAATGTGTGCAGCTCCGGTTGAATTTACAATAAGCTACAGATTGCATACAATCGCCAACTTTGAACTACTGAATGCAAATTAAGTAGAAGTACTGTTACCCTGAGAATCATAAATACCATCTTCACTTAGTATTGTCTAGCATATAGTTTGCTTCAAAGTCTATTGCTTAATTGTTAATCATCTTAGTTGTTAATCTTCTGTTGTGATTATTTTTAAGATGATATGAAAAGAAAATGGCAGATTTCAGTGATTCTTATGGTAGGAATGTTCATAGGTCCACTAGTAGCCTATGAATTTCTGGCAAGGAGAAGGCAAATAATCTGTGTAATTGAATGAATTTGTAATATATGAAACAATTTTTCCTTGAAATGCTGATCAGATCTTAAATTTTCCTTCCTTATTGTTATTCAGAACTTTACAGAAATAGGAAAGTCCTCCTTCTGCTTTGTCTTTCTAGCCATAATATCCAAGAATCACATACATATGTATTTAGTTTTAAAGATACAGGTTTGAGAGTGTAAAAATTCCTTTCCCACTTAATTAATGAATCTGGGCTAAATTTTATTATTAACTGTATTCACTGTAGTGTTTCATAGTTTGGTTTCATATTCATTTGCATCCCCATTCTGCTGTTACATAAGTAATAGCTGCTTTTTAGTGAAGTGTGCAAGTACAGCATCCAGCCTTGTCTTTTCCAAAGCTTGCTCCTAAAGCGGTGCTATTAAGTGCTTCTGCAGCATCATTTTGCATATGGTGGTCTGTGTGCTTGTGTAAGTCCTGCACTCTTGTCTGCAAGGCGTATACAAACACCTTTAATAGCTTTTAAAACCAGCAATATATAGCAGGAGAAGTAGTAAAAAAAATATTGATGATATTATGGTTTGTAATTGATTTATATGGATGGATTTTTTTTTAAGTTGGATATGAAGTATTTGTCACCTCTTCTGTTGGCATATGAAGACAGAATAAGAGAAAAAGAAGATTTAAATCTTGAACATGAGGCAAGTTGCCATTTAAAGAAAATATACTTCTACACTAAAGCAGAAATAAATTACTGAAATTTTTAAAAGGAATTTGTCAAAACTGTTTTCTGCCTAAAATTAAAAGTGATTTTGTTTTACTTTTCCATGCATAGTTGTTGTGCTGTCTTATCCTACTTGGCTTGCTTGTTTTTGTCAGCCTGTTCAGATGTAGAAGCAGGCACTACACTGAGATGTACAAGAATTGTGCTCTCTGAATAGAGTAAACCGTGAACACAGTCAGTGGTGGAAAGAATTTACCGTTGTCATTCCTAATGGGCATGCAGTGCCCTGAATAGCTGCTCTTCCAGTTACTGGCCTGTGGATTTTGTGGTAGAAGAATATTTATTTCTACTTATTTAAGGAATGGACATTAAGGGACGGGTACTCTTTTTGCTCTTTAGAAGTAGTTTTTTTGTCATTGAATCTTTGAAAAATGATTTCTTGCTTCAGAACAGAACTGCCATAGCTTTTCAGAATAATTTATTTCCTTCAAAAAATTAATCTGTAAAATAAGCAGAAAACACCAAGGTTTTCATGTTACTGTAAATTCAGTATATTGTCATACCATAGTCAAATTCATGTAAATCATACTGAAAATGTATAGTATCCTATAATAATTTCCAGAATTCTGGTTTTTAAATCCATATTTTAAGGATCTACAACTTGCTTAATTTAAATGACACTTAGCAAAAATCTGGCACAGTTCAAATATTTTTATTATTTTTAATCAAATATTACTAGATTGATGAAACAATTTAGAAGTTAAGGATGCATATCTGAATTAAAGATGAGTTGTGAGATAATATGCTGTTAACAGGAGAATTAGAAAGCACCCAGGCATATATATTTATAAAAGTTTTTGTTGATGTAAAAACTAAACCAAAATACTTACTTCTAAAAAATTTCATAGGGAGTCCTTTGTCTTCCAGGAGGATATGAAGAATTTTAAAGTACGAGTTGAAGAGTTGGTGAAGGAGAATGAAGACCTGCATGAGCAATTAAATAAAAGTAACTTCATTACCCCTGCAGAATGGCAAGTTATACTACTAGAAATTAATTTAAAAGCTACTCGTTATTTTGTTTGTTGCATGCAAACTTTTAAGATTACAGATCTTACAGAAAAATTTTGAACTCCTCAAGCAAAATAAGTTTTGATAAAGAGTTAATAGGGTCATGATTATGTCTTGTTGGAACAATGCTGATCTGCAATACCTGAAATAATTTTGGAGTAAAGATTAAATAGTCAATGTGCCATTTTGCACTTGAAGCCCACATAATTGTCCCAGGCCTCACCAAGCTTTTGCTCTGTACCTTCAGTGGTGGCTTCACGCTCAGTGTTGCAGTGCATTGCTCCCCTAAGCTCCTTTTTGTAGCAGTGTTTTAAAATTTTGATTCACAATGTAGCCTCACGGGGCCAGGCATAGCTTAGGGTGAGGATGTAGCTTGGCAGTGCGGGAGACGTTCTTTATGCCTAAACTTGTTGCTGAAATATGATCTTAGTGATAACAATTTGTAAGTTGTGGTTTTACCTGGAAAATTATTTTGTTCTTTACCATTGTTATACTTCAGAGACTTGTCCAGTAAGATACACAATCCGTTTTCTCCACCTTAACTCCAGCCTTTATAGTTTTGATGGGAAAAAAAACTTCCATTGTTTCTTTCAGCTGGCAATGCTTCACATCTTACATCAGCACTGACCTTCCTGTCACAAATAATGAATGTATTTTGTCATTCAGTTTTCATTTCATATTTATCCATTCAGATGAAAACATGCAGAGTCTTAAGTAAACACTATGTCAGCTATTAACTGATTTCTAAGTGGCTGATGTGTATTTGCTTCCTTCTCCTATGCCCACTGCAGCAAATTTCACAGTAAATTAGTCAGCTGAACTTACAAACTCCTATTTGCAGAGGTTTTCATGGAATCAAATGTAAGCTGACTTCCATTTCTGTGTTTGCAAAAATCTTCAGGGTAGGCTGTTTATATTTTTCAGCTGCCAGACAACAGTTGTTAGCTGTATGGTTCAGCTTAATTTTAGTCAGAATATCATTTTATGGTAGGGAAAATTGTCCCTATCTACATCTATATACAGTGGGATGCATGAACAAAGTAGATATATGTTGTATTAGTTACTGTCATCAGAAATTCTTGGTCACAGTCTGGCCACATTTTGTTTGGGTTTAGGCTACTTTTACTGATTGATGACAATTCTTGAGTTTAAATTCATGTGACATCATCTGACTCTTGTAGTGTATTTCTACTTGCATTCTGGCTAATACCAACTTTTTAAGCTATTATTAGAACAGCAAATAGTTTCTTAAGCTTTTGTTAACATCAGAAAGACTGATACTGGTTTTCTCAAAAGCTGAATTAATACTAGTTGTAAAGCACAGAGTTAAGTTCTCTGCTCAGGATAGTCCACTTTAAATGCCCATCTTCTTTACAGGCCTATAAAACACACTGGCAGTATTTTTCCAAAGATCAAAGCCAAGTAGATCCGAATCCTATCCAAAAATGTATTGCATGTTTTGAAAACGGATTTGGTTCAGTTACTAGTTACATGGCCGTCTCCAAGTCATCTGGCACCATTATGTAGCTTTAATTCTCTTGTATGAGAAAAGTCTGAGAGCTGGGACTGTTTTGCCTAGAGAAGAGAAGGCTAAGGGGGGATCCTATCACTGTGTACAAGTGCCTGAGGAAAGAATGTAAAGACAGAGCCAGGCTCTTTTCAGTGGTGCCCTGTGACAGGACAGGAGGTGATGGGCACAAGCTGAAACACAGGAGATTCCCTCTGAACATAAGGAAACAGTTTTTCACTGTGAGCACTGCAACAAGCTGTCCAGAGAGTTTGGGGAGTCTCCATCGCTAGAGGTAATCAACCATTCTATGATTCTATGACATGGTCCTGGGCAGCCAGCTGTAGGTGCCCCTGCTTGAGCTGGAGGGGTGGACCAGATGGCCTCCAGAGGTCCCTTCCAACCTCAGACATTCTATGATGCTACAATTCCAATTCACACATATTTTTTTTTTTCTTATTTCTATAGGGAATTTTTGCTTTAGTCAAAGATTTTAAACATTATTTAAAATAATTTACGTTTTGAGGATTGTGAGTTCGTGTCTCTAATGAGCTTACCTTGGGTCCTGACATTGCTTTCAATTAGGGGTTTTTATTTGTTTCTTTAAAGAGGTTCAAATATGATTTTATACGTTTACACTGTTAGAAGTCAGTTGTGTTTTTTCTTTGGACATAAATTAATATTTGAATTATATTTTATTTATAAGCTGGTTGTCGTTGCAGGCAGCAGCTGCAAACTCAGGCCAAGCTGGTCTTGGAAGAAAATGGATTGTTGATGGAGCAACTCGAAATTCAGCAAGCTAAAGCAAAAGATAGTCACAGACAACATGTTCAGGAAGGTAAAGTACTTGAGTTGCTCATCATATGAACCACACAGAAAATGGTACTGCAGGTTTGGGGTTTTGTTTGTGGGGGTGTTTTGGGGTTTTTTTGCAACTTCATATATGCCTACAAAGCATTGCTAAATGCAGGTAACACTAATACGAGATCAAGCTCTGGATGTCAACTGATACTGCGTCAGTGTCATCTATTGACACTATACAGCATACTCCATTTTGACTTGCTTCCTCTGAAAAAGTGACAAGGACTGTTAAACACCAATACACTCATTTTTGTAATTAAAAAGCACTTTTTAACATTACAAGTTGGTATTTGTGAGGTATTATTTGCTTATTTAAATGTTTAATTTAAAATTTGTAGGGTTTTTAATTTTCTGCTTTGTATACAATGCTTATCACTTAATATAGTTAATTATAAGTAGCAGTATTTGATTTTACAGTTTTATAATTTGATACTGCTTAAATTTACGTGCATCTTCAAGTAATAATAATCTGTTATCTCTTGCTGTTTAATCAGAGGTTTGTATTTGCATAAATTCAGAACACTTGATATTCCTTGTCTTGCCTGTAAATATTATTTCTTGACCAAGATTAATTTTTCTGCTGCTAGTTATTTTTTGCATCAGCCAATTCCTCTGGATATTTCTTGTTAATAGCCTTCTGACTGGATATTAGAAAGAGAACAAGCATGTTATGGTTTAAAATCCCAAAACTGAAAGTAAGATTTCTTAGTGAAGTTTAAAAAGCGAAATTGAATCTTAATTCACAGATTAGGATGTCCTGAAAAACATTTACTTATGTGCAATTAACGTAAGTCGCTGATGAGAACAGTTTCCTTAAGTGAACCTATATAGCAAAACTCGAATTCTGACTTTTTTTATTCATCTGCCACCCATCCCAATTTCTGCTTTTAAAGTTTCTCAGTTTCTTGTTTAGAGTTTTATTTCTCTATATCCATCTGTGTTTAGAAGATAATTCATCACACCCAAGGCCAGACAATACCGTAAAATCAGGTGTTCCTCTTTCCAAATCTCAAAATAGCTTGATCTCATATGAGCTGTCAGAACATCCCTATTAAACAGTGACATATTTTGTTATCTATTGTTGGAGTTCTCACAAGGAAACAAGAGCCCTGATCTTCCATTCAACTGCTGTGGCAGTGTATCCAGTGATTATACTACAGGAAAAATTCAGAGATCAGTGAACAGAAACTAGGCAGTCTCTAGATGTGTGCCCCATCTACTAGACTACAAAAGTCATGATCCATTTTAGGTTTTTTTCATGTATTAGTAAAATCTGAATCAGAGCATTTATCAGAGTAAAATATTTCAATGAGCAAATAACTCACAGCCCTGAAAAGAAGTAGTCTTTAAGTTTTGGCACTTTGCCAAAACAAACTGCTTGAGACAGCAAAAGAAAAATCCAAACTGTTAAAATACAAACCAAACTGACAAATCCACTGTTACATAATTCTATGAATAAATACGAATTAACATATTACTGGTTTAGTTGGGAGTTTCACTAGGTGGTTGAGTTAATTCTGCTGTACTCAATTATTTGTCTTTTTTTCCCCTCCCAAAAGCTTCAAAATTGACCAAACAGATAATAATCTTAGAAGATAAGAAACAGAGTCAAGAAGAAGAGATAGCAGAATACCAGAAGCAGTTAGAAGTTTTGCGTTCTACATGTGAAGAGCTGAAAGCCAAACTTGATAGCAGAATAGCAGCAGAGGAGCACTTTGCTTTGGTGAATGATTTAAAGAGGTATGAGTTTACATACTGTGCACAGAGAAACAATTCTGCAAAGCATTCACATGAACAGATCTGTACACACATCATTCTGTAGGTAGGAGGCAAGTGGAAACTTATGCTGGTAATCTAGGAAGGTAACTACTAAAGTACACAGAAAGGTAAAGAAATATTTCAGAAATACTGTCTCACTTTTTATAGACAATTAAAATTACAGAAGGAAATCCCAGATGGAGAGACATCAGTAGAATTGTTTCTGCCATAGAGTACATACTGCTAAATGTACCTTTTAAAATAGTAGAAGAGGAGGCATTAAAAATACCATTTTTGTCAAATCTAATTACTTCTATCAACACTATATATAAAATGTTCTCATTCTTTTGTTCCCATCTTTGGGAAAATGTCTGAAGGATCCTGAAATTCTAAACTAAAAATACTAAGTTTCTTCAATCTTTACAATATGGAAATAACACGTAACAGCACAACACAAAAGTGCTGTCATGCAGCATAGCCTGTAATGTTTTTCTAAAGACATTCTGTAAATTTGTTTGCTCTCAAGCCTTAGGATAGCACAAGTTACTGTTTCTTGGTACAGTGCCTTCCTGAGGAGTCTCAGACCTTCTTTTTTGGCATTGCTATGCTAGCAATTTCTTTGAAAAAAAATTAGGAAGGGAATACATTTGGACTATATAGGATATTTTTTTTAAATTCTATTTCAAGTGCAGTCAGGATTAATTATTTGAATAATTTTGTTTGCCTTATGTTTCATTCGTGATTTGATATGTCACGAGATTGTAATCCCTCTCTTTTATGTCACCACTGAACATTAAGCATTCTCAATGTATCTTTTTCATACCTTCAACATTTGACTGTAACATAGCTTTTTAGTGAAGTAAGTCTATACATGGCACCTGTTCAACGCTGTTGGTTTTTGCAGCCATTTACAACAGGAGCAGGAGATAAAGCGCTGTGAGGTGGAAGATCTAATGGGAAAGATAACATCACTGCAAACTCAAAACAAGAAACTGCTTTTAGAGAAAAACAACTTCATGGCTGACAACAAGATCCTGGAAACGGAGGTGGAAATGACACAAAAGACAAACAGGTCATATCACATTCTCATTTTCCTGTATAGATATACTTGTATTTCTAAAAATAGTAGAAATATCTGTAAAAGTATTGTCTGTCATCCCACAGTGTGTAATTTCTACCTACTACAGAAAAACCATGTTTCCTAAACATATCTTTGTCAAATCTAAAGGCCTGGTCATCAAGCAACTTTCCTAAGCTTTGTGTGTTTTCATGCATACTTTACTATGTCTACATGCAATTAAGAATATATCTTTAACGCTAGCAGTTAGCTATAGCAATTAATCATTTGTATACTCACTTGAAAAATAGGGTATTACGCTATTTGCAGACCTCATGCACCTGAGTGGTTCAGAGTTGGGCTTACAATACTTTAAAAATTAAAACCAATATTATTTTTGTATTTCTTAAGAAATATGAGCTTGTAGCCATTGCACAAATTGTTCTTTTGAGTCATTGTTACTGTTGTTAGTGACACAACACATTGTAAAGAAAAACAGCCCCAAAAAGTGGAAAATGATACTTTCAGCATTGCAAATATTTTGAGCCAGTGTCTCTAACAGTATATTTGATCGTTTGAGACCTGTACAAGTTGATTTGCACATGCAATGCAAGTTCTTTTAATGCCATTATTAATTTCCAATCTAAGAATTTCTTTTTTTCTGTTTATTTTATAGGCGATTAAAGAAGAAAATAGGTCTTTTGAAACTGCAGTTGGAGGAAGCAATGGAAAAAGAAGTTGCAGCCCATCACTATCTAACAAACCTTATTGGTTTGGTGGAGAAGATAGCTCAGGAACGTAATCACCTTATATTTTTGGTAATTATCTTTAAATAATTAATATTACTTAATTGATATTTCACACAATTAACATCCTACTAGCATAACTTATCTTTAATTTGAATTGCCAAAAAAGAAAGCTGTAATTTCAGTTTAAGGATTTAGTTATTTAAATAGCAAATAGGATAGAAGCAGTAAAAGGTTATTTTCTAGAAGAGTGGTTAAAAGCAACTACCCTAATTTCTAGAGATAACGTAATTAAGCCTTAACTCACATCAGCATTAAGGTCTGCAGTGGCATACATCAGGTTTAAAAGAGTTTCTTAATCTGATTTTAGAGATGGCTTCAATTGTTGAAAAATAGCACGCGATAACATTAATTTTGAATACACATTTCTGAATCTAAAGGTAAACTATTATCCTTGAAGTGATCTGTGTGGACCTTCTGCTGCGGAAGCACATGCACACTATTGCTCCTTTCTGGAGAGCAGTCATTTTGACAGGCTGGTGGAGAGTTTTGGAACAACTTCCAGTTAGTGGAAATGCCTGGCATGGAAGTTGCTGGGCTTTTTATAGGCACACTTTGTTTCCTTTGCAAGATCTTGAATGCAATTTCAATTTTACATATAGTCTGTCTTCAAATTGGTCCTGGAAACCATTTCACAAAACTTTCTTAAAATAAAGCTGCTTTTGCTTCTGTTGTTCAAGTAGTAGACAAAGGTTGTCATCAGTGTTACGTGAAAAGATTCTGTAGTGGTTAATTCCTAATTCTAGAAGAACAACTATGGTGACCCAACTCAAATCTTTGATCACTGCAAACTGGACTTAGGATTGTGAAACGAGGCACAATAAATGTCTCCTAGGAATTAGGGGAACTGGTTCTTATCTCTCAATCTCTGGTATATCTACTTTCAAATATTCAGCATACCACATTAGAAATACCACAGAGATCAAGGTGTTCCATTTGGCTTAATAACACCCTAGTAGATGTTCAGAATACTTTTTTGCAGTAAAAGCCTGTTTCAGAAGGAAAGATGTCTTAACCTTAATTACCACAAGGTAGTGTAAACCCTATCTTTGCAAGTGTGCAGTATTTGACATCATAGTCTTCCCTTCTGAAACCTGCAGCTGAAAGCACAAACTAAAAAATCAAGTTTCACACACATGCAAAAAGCTCAGAGTATGTCCACGGAAAGTAGCCCAAAATGCAATCAACTATGGCCTATCTTTCTTTAGACAGGTATAAGCTGATCCAGTAATTAGAAGCCAGTCCTGTCATGCAAACAAGAATTTGTGTCTTCCTTTTGAATCACATTCTCGTTTGTACGTGTATGATGCTGCTACATAGAATCATAGAATGGTTTGGGTTGG